CAGTTCCTACTATCTCTTGACAGAATATGGACTAAGTTTCTGCAGTAAACAAAATTGCTATTTATTACAAATGAATAGCTTCTAGCTACAGGTAAATGATTATGAATCATTAACATATAACCCTACTGGTTAAAACTGTAACTTCCTTATAAACCTTCTTAAAGACACACACACACACACATGCATAAACAAAAGAAAACATGTAATGGGCAGAGGGAAAGACTGGAAAAGCAGTTCAGTTGTCCGTGTTCACATGGTTCGCTGAATGATCCTTTTGGCTTGTCAGGCTATTGTTCCTTGATCTTCCACTTGCTTGCAGGAGGCATAGAGTGAACTGTTTCAAACTTATAAAGGTTTTTGATGTGTTAAAAGTCACAGATGACAGCAACTAATGAAAGTAAGTAAACTGGCTTGAGTTTTTTTTTAATTGCACGAGAAAAACAGCTCCTTCCCTTCTAGAGGACTGATGGCTTCACTCTTAAACATTCACACCCACAAACCTTTTAGCTAACCCATAGCCAATCACATAGTTGTTGACAGGTAGAAGGGCTTTGTCATTGGTCTGTGGGCTAGTGACCAGTTGCTGACTGAATCTCCATTTGTACAAATCCCTTGGCTCCAACTCATCAGCAGTAAGATTTTGCCCCCACTGTTTGCACAAACAGCTGTGTAAACAGCACTTACAATGAGTGTCAGGTAACTTGCTTTTTAAAAAGTGCAGCAATCTCTTAATAATTCTTGGCTTTTAAAATGAGTCCTTTTCCCATTTCAGTCCACAATCAAAACTACAGGAAAATAAAAAGATGAAGTCCTTACTCAACTCAGTGTGAATATGGCATTTAATTGAATGGTAATAATATTAATATCACAAAAGTGCCAGGCAATGACCATCTCCAACAAGAAGCAATCTAACTATTTCCCCTTGACATTCAATGGTATTACCATCGCTGAATCCTCTGTCAATATCCTATGGGTTAGTATTGACCAGAAATAGAACTGAATCAACCATAAAAATAGTGTGGCTGTTGCAGCAGGTCAGAGGCTAAGTATTTTGTGGCTAATAAATCTCCACCTAATTTCCAAAGCCTATCCACCATCTACAAGGAACAAGATGTGTGTGATGGAACTATCTCCTTTTGCCTGGATGAGTACATCTCCAATAACACTCAAGCTTGATACTTTCCGGGACAAAGCAGCCTGCTCAATTGGCACGCCATCTAACACCTTCAACATTCACTACCTAACACACAATGGTCGTCATGTGTGCCATCTGCAAGATGCACTGCAGCAGCTTACCATGGCTCCGTTGACAGCACCTTTCAAATCCACGACCTCTACCATCTAGAAGGACAAGGCAACAGATGTTTCGGAAAGCCACAAGCAAGTTCCTTTCCTTGCTGCACATCATCCTGACGTAGAACTGTAGTGTCATTTCTTCACTGTCGCTTGGTCAGAACCCTGGAACCACCTTCCTAACAGCCTAGCGGGTAGACCTACACACCAAGGATTACTGAGCATCATCATCTTAAGGTCAATTAGGAGTGAACAATAATGGTTGGCCTAACTAGTGACCACCGAAGTACCGTTGTCTGGAGTGTCTGATTGATTGACTTGCCTGCTGGCATATGGCAAATGTCCATTTGGGTGAGATATTAAACAGTTTGAATAGGTAGCTTTGGGGGAAAAAATGAAGTAGTTTTTTTTTAATATTTAACATACATCTCATGAATAACTTTGGTAATGAATTTTAGTTTCTGCACATTTGTATTGCTTAATTTAAAATAGTCTCTGATTTGTCCAAAGCCAGGATAAATATGCACCTTTTCATATATTGTTGTATAATTCAGAGAATGTGTTCCAATTCTAACTGTACAAATCCCTTCTAAAGTCCTGGGTTCAAGTCCCATCTTCTCCAGAGGTGTCTCATAGCACATCTGGACAGATTAATTTTAAGTATCTGCCAGTGTCAGTCCCTTCTGGGATCAGTAAACTTAATTGGATAATCAGCTCAGGAATTCCAGAGCATTGCATTAATTAAAGCATAAAGGCAGTTTTGGAAGGTGGCTTGAATTATCACCCATTGGACTGGTGTTACTCTGTAACAACAAGCAACCCTCTCACCAATGGAAAAATAATTATTTATAATATACAAGAACACTTGAGTTGTTTTTAGTTGTATATGGTATTTTTAGTTGTTGCATCTGCTTAAAGTACACTACTGGAAGCCTTTCAGATTTTTTGGTCACCTTAGTATCCCTGCCCAAAGAGTCACACCAACTTAGCCAAATCGAAAGAGCTTAGATACCAAAATGTAAAGCTACAGTTTTGGGATGCTAAGGTATGTCCTGGAATACTTCTGGAATTCAGGAGTGCAAAGACTGTGTAAACTTATAATTTGGACAATCCTATTTAATAAGACAGGATTGCAGAGTTATTTGGACCAAAATTGGAAAAGTTCAGCATCCAGTGATAGGCTCGTCTCTCCTGGCTCCAATAGTAAGTCAGACTGGTTAGTTGGTCATCACTAGCAGCCAGAAGTCCTGTACATCTGGTTCAGGTATTGACTTATTAAGCATACTATACTGGGCTGACTTCAGTCATCATGTGTCATCTTAAAACCACTTCAGTGTGTTTGCCTCCCTCTCCCAAGAAGTATAGTTACTAGTTGACCATCACTGAAGTGAAAAGTGTAAATTTATAGTGGACAGCAGTTACCAGGAGATCCTGGTCAATAGGAGAGTCAGCATTACTTATCTAAAATGTAAGATTGCATTGTTGCCATCCTCCTGAACACAGAATGAATATACACAACACTTCCCCTGTGTGTGTGGAGCTTCAGAAACCTAACTTCTGCACAAATCTAATTTCTGTATAAACCGAATTTCTGTACAAGCCAACCATGGTAACTGCAGAAAATTGCATATTGATCATATCGTAAAATGCATGAACAGACGTAGGCCATTTAGCCCATTGAGTCTGCTCAGCCATCTAATGAGGTCATGGCTGATCTGATAATCCTCATCTCCACTTTCCTTTCTTTTTCTATAACCCTTGATTCTTTTACTGATTAAAAATCTGTCAATCTCAGACCTGACTATACTTAATGAGCCAGCTTCAACAGCCCTCTGTGGTAAAGAATTCCAAGATTCATTACCCTCTGAGAGAAGAAATACCTCCTCATCTATGTTTTAAATGTGCAAACCCTTATTGTGAGATTATGTCCTCAAGTGCAGACACTCCCACGGTGGTGGTGGGGGGGACATTCACATCTGCCATGCAATTCCCCGAAGAATCTTGTTTGTTTCATTATAATTGCCTTTTATTCCTCTGAATACCAACGAGTATCGGCCCAAGCTACTCAACCTCACTTCAGAAGGCAGTCCCTCCATACCCAGTATCAGCCTAGTAAACTATCTCTGGACTGCTTGCAGTGCCAGCATATCTTTCGTTAGATGAAACAGGAGCAATATGCTCTGACACTTAGTAGTGACCTCTGGAATAGAATTTCCTAATTTGTCGTCTAAATAGTGCCTTCAGTATTGTGGAAGAATCTACATCGGGCAGATGTCCAAACCACATATAGTCTTGTCAGTCCCCTTCATGAGGTCGTGGATTTCACACACGGTCAAGAAAAACCTTAATTTTTGCGTGCTGAGGAGCTCTGCACCATACATTCAGTTTGGAAATGTAAAAGTTCACAAACCTTAGGTGCTCTGGAAATTTTCAGGAAGGTAAAAATGATTAAATTGTCCATTTCCCATTGTCTTCCAAAAAATAGTGTTAATGATCACATGAGGTAGGATAAGCAGCAACTTTGCTTCACTCCCATTTTGAGAGCCTCATCTGTCTTTACATGGATTTTGGAACTGGAGTACCCATTCCAGATAAAATCCAAGATTTGGCCACATTTGGACAGGCTCCCAGTTTGTTGATGAAGCATTATGTCTAATGTGTTTTTGAAATCAATCCAGCCTGGCTTTCACAAAGCCCTACAACCTCAAATGAAGCCAAAATCTGTGCAACACATGAGTTTGGAATCGAGCCTATTGCTTTCTGACTGTCCTGTGTGACTCTATGGCTTCTGATATAGGTCTCAAGCAATTCCAAGACAGCCACTGTAAAAGAAAAACCTCAGCAAGTTTCCTGAGTAGGTATCATGGTTGCTGGGTCCCTGTTTTGCGGATGGAACCCACAGTGTTTTCTGAAGCTCTGAGTGTTTTCGCATGTCACCGTTCACTGGGGCTCAAAGGCAGCTCTGAGGCAGAATAATAATTCCTATTACAGTATGGATGGAATTGCAAAGTGGGGAGGAAATATCCATATATGTTGATTAGCTGTACTAGAACATTTGTTACTTAAACACACTTATTTCTCTTTTAAATGAGTAATCCATATTCTTGAAGTGATACCATAAACACCAGGTTACTCCACTGCATTGCCTAGGTGGCAGTGTAAGCCCAGACAATGGACAGACCCTGAAACCGTGACTGTTGGTATTTCCTGAATGTGTAGAAGGTACCACAACCCAGCCTGACCTCATGCGCAGCCAATATCCAAATAGGCTCATGTAGCAGCAAGTAGTCACTTTAGCCATTAGAAGCTGAACCCTTAAATTTCCTCCATAAACACAGGGTGAATGCGTGTTCACTCCTGAGTGGTGACTGAACAAGGAACTTTGTTGTGGTGCTATTTGGAAGGAGGCAAAATATAACGTGATCATCAGTATTACAAGATGCACATTTCTCAAAATGGAATTTGATTGTTTTAGGGTTGTTGAGTTCGCCACATCTAGTGACATGAGAAATGCTCTGAACAAGCTGGAAGGTAAAGAGATAAATGGTCGAAAAATAAGATTAATTGAAGATCGGAAACGCAGGTAATTGTTACTAAGACTGTTAACGTATGTCCTTTAAGTTAACAAAAATGCTTCCTTACTATTTCCACGTGACCTGCACATATTATTGTGACTTACCTTTAGCTGCCAGAGTCCCATCTCTGGAATTCCCTCTGTAAACGTTTTCCATCTTTTTTTCTTTAAGCAAATCCTTAAAACTTACCTGTTTGGCCGAGCTTTTGATCATTTGCCTGAATATTGTCTTATGTGCAGAATCTCTCATTTTATTTTATGATGTCTCAGAAATGCCTTTGATTTCTTTTTATGTGTTAAAGGTGCAATAGAAAGAAAAGTTGTTGCTTATCCACAACTTGGTTGAATCCTGCACTTGCATGATATTGCATATTCTTTTCAGTGAAGTTATTGAATATTAATGTGCGTAACTTCTTGTTTATTCCCCCTTCCCCATTGCTGTGATCAGCTGAAATCTGTAGGAATTCTGATTAGCTGTGGACCTGGCCATTGACTGCTCTTGATACCAATGTCTGTATGGAGACAGGGAAACTATTAAGATCAGAAATATCTCTGTTTTTTATTATGTCTTGGCACAGATTATCCACATTGCTGGTGCTATATATGGCACGCTATATTGTGTATGCTTCACGAGTATTTAAGAAGAAAATATTTTCAAGTGAGGTGCCTAGGGGCTTTTTTCCTATATTAATGAATTGAACTAACTGCTTGTGACTAGACACTTGAAAATGAAAACTTTATTATCTAACTAATTTCTAGAACCAGAAGCAGATCGCACACTAGAAGTTCCTCAAGATCTCGCAGTAGGTCACCATCACCTAAACGGTCAAAGTCAGAAAGTAGGTCCAGAAGCAGGAGTCGTGGTAAATCCCATTCTGCCAGCAGATCGCCTGCCAGGAAAGATCAACCAACAATGAATAACCAGGCTCATTCAAGATCAAAATCTCCTGGATTGACAAACCAATCAAGGTCCAGGTCACGTTCTGTTGAAAGTGCTGATTAGATTGTAAAAAGCTGTTGTCTTCAGAAAATGATATTGGCTATCTTTTGCTTGAGGTTGTTTGTGGATGCTTCTTTGTTCATCTAAGTTTTTGTTGAACTGTAAAAGATAATTATTTCTTTGATACATAAAAGTCACTAATGGAAAATAATTTACTTAAATTAGAACTGGTTTTAGAGTTCTATGCTGCTTTGGTATTGAATATATAATGGATAGATTGAGTAAATTGATATCAGATTGTTGTTTCTGAAAAGCTGTAGGCACAACTTAGACTCTCTAGTTCACAATTGTTTTCTGTTAATTATAAGTGATACATTATACTTTGGATTGAAACCAAATAAATGTTATTACAACATTTGATTTTCTTAGACTATTTCATTGGTATCTCTTCAATGAAAAGCTTTGAATTAACTGCTTGTTTTTGCTGCATGAGTGCAACTGTATGGTGACTTTTGAGTTTATTTTAAAAGATTTTATTAGAATTTGATTTGATTGTATTTTCATCTTTCTGTTTGTTAGCCTCAACTCAGTATTACAGATGGTGTCTCAAAACCAGTAATCTTTGGTCCTTTGAAGTTTGGGGTATGTTGTTGGGTCTCACGGATTCAGGTGATGTCAAGGATTGCTCAGAATGTTGGAGTAGATTGACATGCAAGTGGCAAAATAGTTAACTAGTCCAGCACCATGCAGTGTCTAGCTCAGTTGTCCATAAAAGGTGTTTTAATGTTTTACTCAACAAAGTCGTTGTGTGGCCCCTTCCTAAAATACCTGGTTTTCAAAGAACTCCAGTCTTTTGATACTTGGATTTGAAACATTGTACCCTGTAGCACTTTTGGCCTAGAGTGTGGATTCAGTCTCCATTCCACAGACTAGAACGTACAATCCAAACTGTCACTTCAGTGCTGCATTGAGGAAGCATTGCACTAACCGATGTACTCTTATGAGATTAGACATCAAATCCATCCTTACAGATGGAGTAAAAAATACCAAAGTGCCATTCAAAGAAGAGCTGGGATGTCCAGACTTAATCCCTCAGTCATCATCTTAGAGAATAGGTCTGGTCATTTATGTCATTACTGATTTGTGGGACCTTGCTGTGTGCATACAGCTGGTGTATTTCCTTCATTACAACAGTAACTCCACTTGAATGTAATTAATTAACAGTAAAACTCTGGAAATAGCTTTTATGCAATCTGATTCATATTTTCAAGTAAGTTACTGGCATGAGTATTTTTCAAACTTTCTCTATATTTTCCAGTGAGAGCTGTAATTCTCTTGGAGAAGGAAAAAGAGCTATGCTAATGATGATGTCCGCTTGCTGTATGAGATTAATTGAGCAGTAATTTTCTGCAAACATAATGTTGCTGAAGACTATAATGTTTTTGTAGACTAATTATTCACTGGCAGAAACTTATACCTAGATTCGATCTAGCTGTACTTGGTCTGTATGTTTTTTGCATTTTCTTACTTGGGAAATAAAGTAACATTTTCTTGAAGCAATTTATAAATAAAATTGAAATTCACTTAATTCAAGAACTGTGATTCTGTTAGTTGTTGGAACATGAAATACTTTTCCAGAGGTCAAGGCAAAGACCCATTGCACCTCCTAAGAGAAAAAGTAAATTAGAAGTTTTATTAGTGCTAATCTAAAAAATAGATGGTGGGTTCTTATAAACAAAAATTGTTTTTTCAGACAAATGTACAATGTTGAAGCAAGACACTGAGGATTGAGGAATCGGAAATAAAATCTAACCACATTTCCACACACTAAATTAATAATCACAAATAATATAGAGCTCAGGCTCAACGCAATGTCTTCACCATAGGGACAGAAAACTGAAATTTAACCTACTTGATGGGTACTGAGAAGTGTTGGAAAAGGACTGTGAACAGGTTCCTGATTGCAGTTTTTTTTCAAACAAAAAAGGGAAGTTAGAGAGAAATTGGTTGGCTGGATTGGCCATGCTAAATTGCCCATAGTGTCCAGGGATGTGTAGGTTAGGTGGATTAGCCATGGGAGTTACAAGGATAGGGTAGGGAGGGTGGATCTGGGTGTGATGCTCTTCAGAGGGTCAGTGTGGACTTGATGGGCCAAATAGCCTACTTCCACACGTAGGGATTCTATGAAATTAGAGTACTTTTTACATCTTCCTATGTCTTTTAGTTAAGTACACTCTGATTCTTTTTATCATTCATTCACAGGATGTGAGCATGACTGGCTTCGCAGTGTTTATTGCCCATTTCTAGTTGCACTTGAGAAGTTGCTGGTGAGTTGACTTGTTGAACCACTGCAGTCTATTTGGCGTAGGTACATTACAGTGCCATTCGGGAGGGAGTTCCAGGATTTTGACCTAACAACACTGAAGGAATGGTGATATGTTTCCAAGTCTGGATAGAGAGTGACTTGGAGGGGAACTTGCAAGTGGTGGTGTTCCCATATATCTGCTGTTCTTATCCTTCCAAATAGTAATAGTTGTGGATTTGAAAGGTGCTAGCTATGGAGCCTTGGGAACTTCTGCAATCTTGTGAATAGTACACTCAGCTGCTACTGAACATCAATGGTGGACAGAGTGGATGCTTGTAGATGTGGTGCCAATCAAGCAGGCTGCTTTGTCCTGGATGGTTTTCAGCTTCTTGAGTGTTGTTGGAGCTGAACTTGTCTGGTTAAATGGATGGTATTCCATCACATTCCTGACTTGTGTTTTCTAGATGGTGGACAGCTTTTGGGAATTCAGGAGGTTAGTTACTTGCTGCAAGATTCCCCCCCCTCTGAGGTGGGGCTGTAGCCACAATTTACACGTTGGTTATTCTTACCAATAATGTCATGCACAGATGCATTTGTGGCAGGCAGACAGGTGGGGATGAGCTCAAGTATTTGTTTTCCCATCTTACTGGATCTCTCACCACCTGCTACATATTCAGTCTAAAAGCAATGTCCTTTAGGACCACATTAGCTCAGTCAGTAGTGTGGTGCTGAGCCTCTTGTTGTGGTGGACATTTAAGTCCCCCACAGAGTACATTCTGCACCCTTGCCACCCTCTGTGGTCTCAACTATTTCTGTACAACATAAAAAAGCTCCCTCCCAAATCTGTCGTTGCCCCTCTTGCGCCAGTCCTGCGTGTCGGGCAGGACATAGCCAGGACTGGGACCTTGTATGTAAGGAATGATTCTGGGAGTATGACTTGTCAGGCTGTTGCATGATTAATCAGTGAGACAAATCTCCTAGTTTTGGCACTAGCCCCCAGTTGTTAATAAGGAGGACTTTTCAGGATCAATAGGGGTGTGCTTGCCATTGTCGTTTCCGATGCCTTAGTCAATACCAGGCTAGTGGATGGTTGGGGTAAGGGATTGGATGATGTCAACTGATCTGCTATAAAGTGAGGTTGCCATTCTTTCACTGGCACCGGGTCAAAACTCTGGAACTCGCTGTTTAACAGCCAGACATATAGCGGCGGTTCCAAAACAAAGGCAGCCCACCCCACCACAAACTTTTCAGGATGTATCTGATGGGTGAAGTAATGCACGGTTCACCCTGGGAGCTGTGCCCATTTGTTTTTTTTCTCTTGCAAAAATATATTTTTAAAAAAAAAACTCGAAGTACCTAGAGTCTTAAAAAGGTTGTGCACAGTCTGCACAGCAAATAAAAACAAACAATACACTAGAATTTAATATGCCTCTGAGCCATGCTGCATGTGGCCAAGAACAGGGGCATTTTTCTATATTGGGTAAGTCTGAGTCGTGGCAATTGCTGAGAAAGGAAACAAGGCTGTGGAAGTGAGTTTTGGCCAACACTTTGTCGAACACCAGCAGTGAAATGGAAAGCAATGAAGATATACACGGTGAAAGAGACAACCGGAATTCGTATCGGAGGGAAGAGCAAAACTTCTGGAAGAGACGTGCAAGTCGATTAAACACGGTAGTAGTAGCAAATCAGCGTTGATGCCGGCATGCAACTCGGACAAGAAACGGTATTGCGCGCGTTCTGAGCATTGGGCGGACCCTCGTTACACACGGGCGGAAAGACCTTGATCCACGCTTACAGTACCAATGTGACACTTCGGGCAGAGAGTCACCGTGGAATGTAGCGATTTGAGGAGGGAAAGCGTCACAGTGGCCGGAGGTGACGTCAGCGCTCGCCCGCCCTCTGGCCGTCGGACGCCATTTTGTGCGGCGGTTAGTTATTTTTATCTGCGTCAGTGTGGGGCGAGAGGCCGAGCTGGTAAGAGCAGGAGCCTTTATTATTATTATTATTATTATTATTATTATTATTATTGTGGAGGTGGCCGCCTCCTTATAAAACATACCTGTTCTCTAACTTTATTCCCTACATACACTTAGGGCCGTGTAAACGCCATGTGGTTTCCCCCCCCCACCCCTGGTGATGTCGGGCCCGCTCCACGGGCTTAAAGGGTCTCGCCTGCTCGTCCCTTCTCCTTCCCATTTCCCCCCACCCCGTGTTTGGGAAAGGAGAAACACCCAGCCGGGTCTCACTCCGCAAAACCCCTTCATTCCCACCCACTCCCCGTCCTCAGGCCGGGAGGCTCTTTTTTTCCTCCTCCTTTTTCTCCTTCACGGACGCTGCCAGACCTCCTGAACTTTTCCAGCAACTTCTGGTTTTTTTTTTCTTGTGTTCGGACTGTTTTGATCGGATCGTCTGGTGTTTTCCGTGTAAAAGGTGCTGCCAGGGCCGCCTGCACTCCCTCCCTCCACCCCGCTCCATCCATTCAGCACCTCTGTCTCCTCCGCCCCGCCACATCCTTCAGGATGGCCGTGCCATACCCTGCTCTCCCCTCTGTATCAACCTAGACACCTTGGATGTAAGGGTGAAGGCTTTCTTTTTTTAAAAGAGGTCACGGTTGTGTTATTCCGTGATGGCTTTAATTAGCAAGTCGCCCGCATAAAACAAGCGGCTCAACGAGTAATGTAGCCGGTAAATTAGCAATACAGAATTGCCGTGCCATAGTTTTGTAGTTTATGAGAGAATAGTGCTTCAAGGTGAACGTATTATCTTTTTAACTGGTCTGGACAGCAACATGTTTAACTCTGAACTGCTCTCTACAATATTTACGGGCAATTAGAAATGGACATTAAATGCCAGCTTTGCTAACCTACACTCACCTTTACTGTCTCCAACCCCGCTTCTTTGACCTGTCTGTCTCCTGTCTACTTACCTGCTCCTTTATCCAAGATAACAAGGTGTAGAGCTGGATGAACACAGCAGGCCGAGCAGGAAGGCTGACATTTCGGGCCTAGACCCGTCAGAATGTTCATCTAGCTGTACACCTTGTTATCTCAGATTCTCCAGCATCTGCAATTCCTACTATCTTTGCTCCTTTATCCATCTTCTATCTGCCTCCCCCTATTTATTTCAGAATCCCCTTCCCCTCCCCCATTTCTGAAGAAGGGTTTAGACCCAAAACATTGGCTTTCCTGCTCCTCTGATGCTGCTTGGCCTGCTGTGTTCATCCAGCTCTATACCTTGTTATCTCAGGTTACAGCCCAACAGGTTTATTTGAAATCACAAACTTTTGGTGCACTGCTCCTTTGCCAGGTGAAGCGACAAAGGAGCGCCACTTCAAAAGCTTGCAGTTTCAAATAAACGTGTTGGACTAGAACCTGGTGTCATGTGACTTCTGACTTTGTCCACTCCACTGCAGCGCTGGCATCTCCATATCACAGTTAGTACAGGTTTATCACTGCCCAGTTTCACTTCAGCTCTTGTTTTCTCTGGTCTATTGTTTGATGGGCATGCTGATCTTTGTGACAAAGTGTGCACCTTTTTTCAAAAGTTGCTGTATGTTATTTGCATTTTAAAGCCTTCAGTTATGACATTGAACGCACTGATCAACCTAGATTGAAATTGCCAAATGCCCAAGTTTGAATTGGATTCTGGGACTGACACCATAGACAGATGTGGGGGAGAAGGGTTTGAAAGTGGCCTCGTAATAGTTCTATTACCTTCATCCCATAAAGCGACTACAATTCGCCAACATTTTTTTCAAACCTCAGCTGTCCATTGTCCCTGATGTTCACCTGGGTCTCCCATGTTCTGTAATCCCTCGGCCAATTAACACATCACCTCTCATTGTAAATGGCTAAATCTTCCCTCCTGCTCCTGATTTTTTTTTTTTTAGTATGTTGTGACCTTGCCATCTTGACTGTCTTTTTCACTTCATATTTTGGATCCCTCCTTATCAGCTTCTGTCCCAGACACGTTTATATATTTCTCCTCTCCAATTTTAACTCCAAGTACTACAGGTAGTTTTCCTGTAACACACTAGTTGTGTTCTTGTGTGACCTCGTTGCGTTCCCCTATAGTGAAATAGCTATAGAAAATTGCTATACCTATACAGCAGAAAGTTTGCATTATCCAACCAATGTCCACTATTTATCAATTGTGTTAACGAAATACGCGTAACTCACTACCTGTAGTGAGTTACCACCACTACACCTTCTGCACAAAGTTTTCAATGTTATTTGACCATTTGTGCTTTTCCAGGTGGACTGCTGCATCTCAGCGGACTGCTGCATCTCAGCACCAGGTACCTGGGTTTCGTCCCAGCCTTGGATGACTGTAGAGTTTGCCTGTTCTCCCTGTGTATGCGTGGGTTTTCTCTGGGTGCTGTGGTTTCCTCCCATAGTCCAAAGATGTGTAGGTTAGGTGGATTGGCCATACTAAATTGCCCATAGGGTGCAGGCCAGATGGATTAGTCGTGGTAAATCCGGGGTTAAGTTGAGAGGGTGGGGTGCTCTTTGGCAGGTTGGTGCAGACTTGATGGGCCAAATAGCCTCTTTCCACACCATGGGTATTCTGTGATTTGTGGTAATACTTCCCTGCTGTAATAATGGTAATCTATACCCACAACCCTGATCCCAACAATGCATTAACTCATCTCCCCAAAATTTTCTATGCACACACTACTATCAATGTATCCTGCACTTTTTAAAAAGAATTAATAGAACTAGGCCATGGTAAAAGCAGCATTACTAGGATGGGAGAAAGTGGGTCTGGGTGGGATGTTCTTCAGAGAGTTTGTATAGACTTGATGAGCCAAATGGCCTCTCTCTGCACTGAAAGGATTCTATGATTCTAAGCCATTCACCATCCAATCTTGTTCTGTAAATGTTCTCATTTAATTAGATCGTGGTTAACCTGTGTCTTTGTATCAACTGTGCTCCTTTGTCCCCCAAGCCTTAATATGCTTACCTAATTAATATCTCCTCTTTTAAAACATCCGTTGACCTGTGGAAAAACGACATTCTGGGTTTGCACTAACTTTTGTGTGAGAAAGTGTTTCTTGACTCCCTGAGCTTCAAATGTTCAGGAGGGTCCCCTTTGTTTTTGTCTCTCCCATTGGGGAAACCCATTCTCACTCTATTCTCATTAACTGTGTTGATCACCTTAAAGACTTCAGATAAATGACAGCTCAAATTTCGGTGTGTGAGAAAAAAATTATATATATAGTTATGGACCAGAACAGCGCCCCCACCACCACCACCAAACTACACTATGGAGATGGTCTCGAACCTAACATTTATATCTTTTTGAAAGGCAAAAGCAAGGCACTGTGTTCTAGATACAATTCGATTGATTCACCATTAAACTTTAATCAAAGCACAGTTGAAATACAATAAAAAGAATTGGCAAAACTTTACGGAAATACTTAACACGATAATGTATTATTTAACCACTGATCATTAACTGTTCGAAGACCAAAAACAGAAGTTGCTGGAAAAGCTCAGCAGGTCTGGCAGCACCTGTGAAGAAGAGAATCAGAGTTAATGTTTCGGGTCCAGTGACCCTTCCTCTGTTCTGAGGAA